GTAGGTGTTGTAGTTTTTGAGCTAGAGCAGGTTAAACACGCGCAAGGGAGTGAAAAATTAGTTGTAATATCCCTTTAGTCATTTCCCGAACCGGAAGCTGGAATCGGAAGCTAACTTCAGCTTCGTTTTTGACACAATTGTGAAAATTGCTGTGAATCAAAGCCTTTGTTGCATACTGTGTTTTATTCTTTGTTTCTTGGTCATTAATCTTTTTTGTATTTATTTTTGTAAGGTCCAGTGATACGTCTTGTATAATTTGCCACAGTTTGAACTGATGTTTGTCCTGCAGAGCAAAGCTGAGCAATGATTTTCATTTCCTGTCAACTTGTTTCACAGGTGCCTTCCTTCCTCATGGCTCAAATCTTTTTTTATGGGACCCTGAAGAAGGGGCAGCCCAACCACCGGCACATAATAGACAAAAGTAACGGTAAAGCGGAGTTCGTCGCCACGGCCGTCACCACCCAGAAATACCCACTGGTGATAGCGAGCAAGTACAACGTCCCTTTCCTTCTCCACCTCCCTGGACTGGGCCAAAGAGTCCWCGGGGAGATCTACAAAGTGGACGAGCAGATGCTGCGTTACCTGGACGACTTCGAATGCGTCCCCACCAGATACCAGCGCACGCCGGTCGAGCTGGAGGTCAAGGAGGCGGCGGGGGACACGGATAGTGAGGGACTGTCACCGGGCAGCATCGTCGAGGCGTTTGTGTACAGCACTACGACTTACCAACCGGACTGGCCTTCACTTCCCACCTACGASAACTACGATTCACACGGAGCTCACGGCCTCAGATACGTGTGCAAAGAAGACAGAGACTGACTTCAGTACTGAGGGGGTTTATTACATAAGCTTTTTGTTTACCCTCAACATCTTCAATCCTTATGAGACTTTTTTCTGAAGTAGAATTTAATCTTTTCTAACTATGTATCTTAGCCACAAATCATGGTGAAAGCATTTACATTTCCAGTTCTTAGTTTCACACTATTMTCTCCAGCATTTCCAAGGCCCCTGCCGAAGCAGCGTAGATTAAATAGGAGTTCATTCCAGAGCCTGGGGGCCACAGAGGAGAAGGCACGGTCACCACAAGTCTTAAAGCAAGTGAGGGGAACCATAAGGAGATGTTGATCCTGTGAGCGGAGGTCCCGTCTGGGGTTGTAAGGTGAAATGAGACATTTAATGTATTCAGGTGCTTGACCATGAAGAGCTCTGAAAGTGAGGACCAGGATTTTGAACCGGATTCTGAATTGAACCGGGAGCCAGTGAAGTTCTGCTAGGATCGGGTGAATTTGGAGGTTCGAGTCTTGCTGCCAAGTTTTGGACAAGCTGAAGGCGTTACCATTTCAGACAGCTGTAACTTTCACATAGAAAGGCTAAAATACTCCAAGCTTCGTGTGAGTCATCCATGTTGTATGCCCGACCATTCCATGTGGTCATATGATATCAAAGCCCCGCCCCCTGACAACAGGAAGTGAAATCTTTTTGGCTTGGAAAGCTCCATCTCTGACCCTCTTGATCTAAACAGTAACAAATTGTGTCAGCACCCGCTTTGGATGTTATCAGTCCATTAAATGGACGTTATCAGCGGTTATCAGTCCCATAGAATGGCTTCAGACTGTCCTGACTGTGCCGTCTAGTAGGTTATCAGTCCCATAGAATGGCTTCAGACTGTCAGCTGGTTAGTAAGAGGGATAAAACCACTGAGATTATTTTTAGAGAAAATGACCTGGGCTAGGTTAAAGTAGACCGGAGTCAGGCAGACTGTTGCCTTCTAATGTATTAGTAGGTAAACAGTCTGGAGCCATTCTATGGGACTGATAACCGCTGATAATGTCCATTTAATGGACTGATAACACCCAAACCGGCTGGTGTCAGAACACAGATAATAAGTTGATCTCACTTGCTTTAAAGCACAAAGACTTTTACGCCGTTGACAAACATTTGGCTCTAAATTCCCCATATTTCAGTCAATCTGCACCAAATTCACCGTGGTCGAACCTAATCCACCTAACTACGGGAATGCAGTCCAACTTATGGGGGAGCGTGGCCTAAGTACTCCACAGCACCCCCTACATTTATTTAAAAATTAGCCCCAAGCCATGCTTGGAGCTGGAATCATGAAATTTGGTCCACATGTGTAAAGTCTCAGGACCTACAAAAAAAAAAAAAAAAAAGGTCCAGTCCCCACTGGAAGCTGGCCATTTTGGATCAACGCTGCCAATTTGTCTCTTTTCTTGCACATGTATCTGAGCTAACTCCCTCTACAGCTCTGACCATGCAGACTTCACATGCTGCTTGCATCTGTCAACACTGACTGGTGGTGGGATGGTGTGGGTGTGGCCAATGATGCCTCACCGTTTGCACACCGTAGTTCGAAATCACACATACATTCAAAATGTTGTATGCACCATCATGGGGATCTGCTCAGCACATTAGTGTAGTAGTTTGATGAGATCACTGTAGCCCTGGTCCATCCGTCTGTTCACTTTATTAGATTACTTAAATATGAAGGCGTGTGATGATTCCAACAAAACACTAACAGTTGGTCACTACTGAATGACAACTGGACATCAGCAACGTTTGGCATTGAGTTCTACCTTTTTATTCTGCTCATACTACAGTTGAAAGAACAAGCTGAATTTGGGTGACAGACATGTTTAGTTTTTTTTTTTTTTATGTGATTGAACACCTCGGTAGTCTGGTTATTCTACAGGGATTAATTCCAACACTCATTCTTTAGTACACTTTTCTCAGGTACTGGTGAAACCTCTGCTTTATCTGGTTTATCCTTGACCTTATTTCTATGTCAGGTTAGTTTTCTCTCATAAAAGTTGCACATTAACTCTGTAATACATCACTGTTTAGATGAGACCACCAAGGCACATTGAATCTGCTGRAGTTATCCTGCCGGCGGGCGCTGGGATTTCTTTCTCCATTACAATGAAATTTAAGCCTCGACCTGAGCTTGAAAACAGTTGTTTGAAACGGCAATGGCAAGATGCGCGTTTATTTGGACCAACAATAAAGCACAAAGTGCACACAACTGTGTGTCATTGTTTCCTGTCATATACCCGCACACGTGCAGAACAGTTATTGCCTGCATCCGTCCGTTGTATGCATGTGTGATTTCACTTTTTCTTTCATTTGCAACAGAGTGGAATATTAGTAAATTAATAAACTATTCTTCCTAGCAAGTTAGCTTGAAAATTCAAAAATAAAACAGGAGAAAAAAATTATGTTCCTTACTATACAATACTTCTGATTTCCAGATCATGGGAATTATCGCAATCTACTGGTTGTTGGGTTTCATGGAGGAAAAAAAATCTGCGAAAGACTGAGTTACTGAAACGTAACTTAGTGAGGCTTCATGGTAAACCATTACAAAGTTCAATCAAATCAATATTTCAAATTCCATATTAGTTAAGTGCAAAAATGACAGCAGCAGCTAGCTGTAGTACTTCCAGCAGGGAGATCTTAAAATCCTCGGTGGAATAACCAGGTAACATGAAGCTGTTGTCCGAATGAAAATTTTGAYATTGGGGTCGTTTAAAGGCCTCACTCTGACTAGCCATTTGCTCATCATTCCTATCAGGATTAAATCCTATTTCTTCAAACTGATGTTGTCTAAATAGTTATCTACAACAAGTAGGATATTTATTGTTCATGCCTTTTACAAGGGTTTCTTCAGAAAATCTGAACTATTGCTTTAAGGAGTTTTTTTTTTTTTTTTGGTTTAAAATTTGTGTATTTAGTTTTCAACAGAAGATGAAATGCTAATGTGATTTTCACTGAAACATTCCAAGATGTTTACATAAAACTAAAGCTCTTATTTTGCAAACTATAACAAAGGTGTCTGGTTTTTCTGTGCTATCTTTTTGTTTCTTATGTTTTTTTTTTTCTTTTGGTCAAAAACCAATCTTCTAGAAACTGTTTTTTAAAGCAAACCTATAATGACTTCATGTGAATGTGCCCTCTTAATCCCGTGTGGCTTTAAAAGTCATGAAAGATAAATAAAGAGATATACAAAATGACTGTTTATTTTCAGATTGACAGTTTTTTTGAATGAGAAATTGGTGACAAACCATCGAAATCTCTGTTGGCGTTGGAAGCAGATGTGAAGTGTTATTTTTTTTTATTTCAGTTTGCTCTCTTAGACAAAACAAAATGAGACAAAGAAGAATTTTCACAGTGTTTCAAAATACTGTACAAAAACATCAAGTTTATAAAAAGAAAAAGGTTTAAATTGTGTCCCAAATCTAAATATCCACAATCCGTGATCACATGCTGACAATTCGCTATTTCACTTCCTCTTGGTCACGTTCAGAAAACATTTAATCCTCACATCCTCGTAACCATGACGTGTGCACATGAGCAGCTCTGCCGGCGCCTTCCAGTTTGGCACAGAAAAAGTTAAAAATATTGCTGACGACTTCAGAAGCAGTGATGAGAACGTGAGTTAGGAAAGTYGAAACAAGGTGACGTGTCTTCATGAACAAAAGAAAAGCTACTGATGAGTGTTCTGTGTGTGCAAAATGATTCAGTGTCTGTTAAAAACAATGTTTTTATCTTCCGTAAGGCGAGTGGAAGGCCGCAGGAGGGAGAGGAGGAGAAATGAGGAAGGCGGACTGATCAGTAAAGATCTTTCCTRGTGCTCGGCAGGGCACGGCTGGAGGAGCAGGTGGCGCTGCGGATCACCTCCATCCACCTGAAAAACACGTTTCGTTCAGATATTTTATAGTCAAAACACACATTTGTCTTCTAAACTAACAAATCTAAACTACGCTAATAAGATAAACTGCTTACATTTGATTGATCAGGCTAAGCTCGAATTAACAATGTGAAGCCAAGTCTAAGTAAATTAACCAAGGTTAAAATATGTAACAATAAAATAACCAAAGCTCAACTAAACCAAGTCAACTTATCTTAATTAATTAAATTTAGCTAATCTATATCCAAGGTAAGATAAAACAAACTATGATAAATTAGCCTAAGTCAGTATGTTAAAATACACTAAGTTAAACTAAATTACATTTTTTTAATCAAATTAACTAACCTGAACTAAATTAACCTAGGTCAAAACACATTAACCTACCATAAGCTAAACTAAACAAAGTTGAGGAGTTTGGCTAAATGTAGCTAAGCTATAATAAACTTAGCTAAAATTACCTTTATTTTTATGGTTAACCATGTCAAATTAACCAAGGCCAAAATATGATTTATTAAAATAACTTAAACTAAACCCACTCATCTTCTCTTAATAAACTAAATGTAGCTAAACTAAATCAAACTTTGCTAAAAAAAAAAAAGGTTGGCTAAATTAATATAAACTAGTTTGCCAAAATTTGCACGTTAAAATAAACTAAGCTACACTAAACTGAAAAAAAWTACTTTTATTTTCACAAGATTAACTATGCTAAATTAAACTAAACTAACCCTATCAAAGCCTGAGCTAACCATGTTAAAATATAATCAGCTAAGCTTATCTCAACTAATTGGCCTAATTTTACAATAGGGAAAAACTATGATAAATTAATCTCGAGGAACTACAGCTATAAAGAAAATAAGATAAACTGAGCTAAACTAATTAAAAATATGCTAAACTAAACTAACCTAAGGTAAGCTGTGTTAGACTACACTAAAATGAGCTATAACACTAATTAACAAGTTTTGCACAAATTTAAATTTTTTATTGAATATTCTGAGATCTAAATATTCAAAAGGACCTCAAAACAATCACTAGTTTTTCTGATTGTTGAATGTGAAAGTACATGGATTTAATTCCCTTTAATGCCAAACTGTAGTCAGTTACAAACTGAAGACAAGTTCAACTTTTTTTTCCTATTTTTTGACATCTACTGTTAAATTTTTCATCCTAAAATTTGCAAACTGACAGCTAAAACTTGAGTCCATATAAGCCTAACTTAATATCTACTTGTCATAAATCACCAGTGATTCAGGATGCCCACCTCTCAAAGGTGTACTCGCTCTCTGATCTGAAGTAGTACACGTGGGATTTAAAGTGAAGCTTAAATACGTAATCTTTGTGAATGTTCTCGGACTCGGCTGGGACGGTGACAGAGTAGCCCAGGAGAGGGAGGCTGGCCAGAGGGTATTCATCCTGCAGGAGGAGGGGGAACATCATCATCATCACAGAGCCACTCTTCTTCAGATCAGTGTAAAGCTTTATGCTACGTTCACACCGAACGCGTTTTGAGCGGCCAAAAAGCACAAAACGTCTCTCGTTGGACGCACTATTTTCAGACCGAAGAACYCACTAGTGTTCAGACCAGAACAAACAGCAGCAGCTGGGTGTTGGAGGAGCGTGTCCTTGGCGGGTGAATAAAGATAAAATAAAAGAAAATGGCTGATTTATTTACTAAAAAGCAAGCGAACATTGAGCACAGCAGATAATTAACTCACCAGTGGTCTCATTTATAAAGGATTGCGTGGAAACCATACTAAAAGTGAACGTACGGSCAAAAGGCGGAAATGGCGTACGCCAAAAAAAATTCAGATTTATAAAARCATACGTACGCACGTTTCTGCGCATCTTTCCTTTATAAATCACAGCNATATATATATATATATATGGATTTAATTATGATGTCAGAATGATCCCGGTATCAAAATGTAGCTTTTAAAGCCAAGAATCTGAAATGTATTCTGTATGTAATGTAATGAAATGTAATTAGGTCATTTTGAACAAATTCGACTTAATCCTCATTTTGATATGATGGGTCACAAATATGCAACCTCATCACACTGAGTCATCTTATCCTGCACATCCTTTCTGTGAGATGTGTGGAAGTATATGTGATCCTGTTGTGAAGGGTCCTCCCACTGGGTGTGGACTGAGTTCAGATGTGGTGCAGAGGGTGGGGTGAAGATGTGGCATCAGGATGTGTAGTGAAGATGTGTGCATCAGGAGGTGGTGTGGAGATGCTGGCCTTATCTGGGACAACTGGAGATGAATCCACAGTGCAGTCTGGAAAACATCAACAACATTAAAATGTACACAGTCTTTGCATAGTAGAAACAGTAAAGTGTAACTTATTTTTGTAATTTTTGTTTAACATTGTGAGGAAAAGTTTCTCATTCAACACTTTCACACATCACATGCCCTTGTGACACAACTTTGAATAAGGGAGAAATAATTAAAGTATGGATGATTTTGATTTATTGAAATCAAGTTGGCATACTAAAAGTGACTAATGTGGTAAGACTTACTTAGGGTTTCAGGAGTTCTGATAGGATTTGCTGTGCCTTCTCCCTTCTTGAACTTGGGAAAGAATAATCTGCATGGGCTCTCCAGATGAGGTAGTTGCCTGCAGACCTGAATTTTCATTGAAATGCATTGCAGCCAGGTACAGTGTGGTTAAAATAGCATAAAAGAACGTTACATGTTAGTTTGAAGTTYCACCATTAAAACTCATCTAACACACAGTATTTTGAATAACAAAAAAACATGAATACAGAGTGACTAAAACAACACTGCAGCCGATATTTTTTGGCTGATTGTTGAAGCCAATACTACTTTTTCTTCCTCCCTCCATTAACATGAAGCTGATACTACTCTTTCTTTCTCCCTCCATTAACATGATAAAAATTAGTATGATAACAAATGTTACACAAGTCAATTTAAAACAAAACAAACTAAAAAAACATTTATTAACTAAGCCTTGTCTGATGAGGCTGTATAAAGTGCTGCCACAAAGGATTTCTTCTTTCAGCCTTTCTTTAAATTAAAATAAACAAATAAATTTATTACTTATTTTATCTAGTGCTAAATATTCTGTTTTTATTTGTGTATTCATAAGATTAATAT